CTCTCACGAAAGACTCCTCTTCTTGCTACAAAGACCACATTATCACTGGGTCTGTAGAAGAGGTAACCAAAGGATCTCTGTGGGTAGCCGATGAAAATACACCTCTCACTTCGAGGTTCAAGCTTATCATGAGTCTCACGCCTCACGAAAGCTTCACAACCCCAAATCTTGATGTGGTCCAAATTGGGAACTTTCCCAGTCCACATCTCGTGAGGTGTTTTGGCAACCTTTTTAGTAGGGACTAGATTAAGGATATGGGCGGCAGTCTCTAAGGCATACCCCCAGAAAGAGATTGGTAACGAAGCTCGACTCATCATGGAACGAACCATATCCAACAAGGTTCGATTGCGCCTCTCAGCTACACCATTCAACTGTGGTGTTCTGGGAGGTGTCAATTGTGAGACAATCCCACATTCCTTAAGATAGTCAAGGAACTCAATGCTAAGATACTCTCCTCCCCGATCGGATCGGAGCATCTTGATGTTCCTGCCCAATTGATTCTCCACTTCCTGCTTAAACTCTTTGAACTTTTCAAAGGTTTCTGACTTATGCTTGATTAAGTAAATATATCCATATCTACTGTAATCATCAGTAAAAGTCACATAATAGCGATTAGCATCCCTTGTAGCAACTCTGAAGGGCCACACACATCCGTGTGTACAAGGTCCAACAAACCTTCACCCCTATCACAAGTACCTGTGAAGGGTGACTTTGTCATTTTTCCAAGTAAACAAGACTCGCAACTATCATCTGACTTGAGGTCAAATGATTCCAAGACTCCAGCCTTTTGGAGTTGGCCTATGCGCTTCTTGTTAACATGTCCAAGACGACAATGCCACAAGGATGCTTTATCCAAGCTATCTGAAGAATCAATATACAACACATTATTTCCTAGATTGTCTACAACATTCACGGCTTCATATACACCATCACAAGGTAATGCTTTAAAGTAAAATACATCATTGTAATAAACATTAATAGCACCATTTTTATTATCAAATGAAAATGAAAAACCTTGTTTGTACAAGCCATGAAAAGAAATAATATTTCTCGCCATTCGGGCGAGTAACAACACTTATTCAAATCTAACATTAACCCATTATTAAGCAATAAAGAATAAACTCCTATCTTGGTAACAGGTGATGCTTTCCTGTTGCCCATGACTAAGTTTATCTTCCCGTGCTCCACTTGCTCACTTCTTCTTAGTGCCTGCAAATCAGTACAAATGTGAATACCACACCCTGTATCAAGCACCCAAGAATTAGCATTAGATGAGTTGTTAGACAATATTGTGTAAATACCTGCATGGGTGGGTTTAACCTTCCCATCCTTTAGATCTTGCAGATATTTGGGGCAGCTTCGCTTGAAGTGTCCCTTATCCTGGAAATAGAAGCACTGTGCTTCCTTTGGGTTTGAAGAAGGAGTAATGGGACCTTTCTTTGTCCCACTTGAAGAGGAACCATCAAGAGTCTTACCTTTGGTACCCTTCGAAGGGCTTTTCCTCTTCTTACCTTTCCCTGCCCAATAGCCAGAACAGGGGCTGTTGAAGGAGTAGAAGTAGCAACCGCTTTACCCTTAAGGCCATTTTCAGCTGTCCTTAAGAGTCCTTGAAGTTTGCTAAGTGTGACTTCCTCCTTGTTCATATGATAAGTCATACGAAACTGATCATAACTTGGAGGTAAGGAATGGAGAATGATGTCAATCGCCATTTCCTCAGGAAAGTCAACATTTAGCTTCAGCAACCGGTCAACGAACCTTTGCATCTTCTGCAAGTGACCGGTGATGGGTTCACCATCCTTCATCCTTGCGGTTATCATGGAGGAGATGATTTCATACCTCTCCTGACGCGCGCTCTGATGGTACCTTTCCATCAGATCCAGGTGCATCTCATAGGGGTAGAAATCTTCATAGGATTTTTGAAGTTCAGGAGTCATGGTGGCCATCATGATGCATGCTACTTTAGTAGCATCCTTTTCATGTGCAACAAACTCCGCAAACTCTTCAGGAGTAGCAGTGGCTTCATTCACAACCTTAAGCTCCTATCGAGGACATATTCTTTGTCCTCATAGCGGGTAATCATTCTGATGTTTCTGATCCACTCATTGAAATTGGATCCATCAAAGATGACCTTACCACACAAGTTCATAAGGGAAAAGGAGCCTGTTGGGTTTGAGCCAGAAGCATTGTTGGAAGACATCTGAAAGGAAAGAAAGACAAGTTTCATTAGATTAGGAATCCTTAATAATTCACCCAAATGAAATATTAAGGCTAGGATCCAACAAACTATTTATAGTTGGAAGAGGGATGCCGTAATCCATACTATAAAATATTTGAAGGTAGGTAAATGACGATTTACCAATTTCCACCATAAGAACGAAATATTTTATTATTAGGTTTTATTGGTTTTGAAACTCCTAGATCTTTTGAGATACATTGAACTTTTCAATGGCATGTTTGAATCTCGATTGTGCCCTCTCAAGTTTGTGACTGGGATGCCGAGGATCACAAACAAGGTGTGAATAACCATACAAATTGACTTGGTACCCTCAACAATATTACCTAATCGATGTGCCGGTTAACCACACACGCTCCACCGATCTATAATAAGGTCAAGTCACCCTTTGCCACACTTACTAGTCCATGTTAGTGTGCCGGTTAACCACACACGCTCCACTAACGACTTGGTAAGTTACAAAGTGTAATTTATGGGCTAGCACCAATTTCACATTTTCTTAAAGTAACTAAGATTGGGAATTTATAATGTGTAATTACTTTATAATTCATTATACTTTTAACAAGTATTTAAAGTCGTATCCTACCCGTTCGGCTAACGACCCTCCACCGATCAAGGAAGCGGTGGGTGAGAGTGGACACCCATTAAGTCACCATTTTATAGGCAACAACCTTATACCCCCTTATAGACCGGCTTCGTGAATAAGGCGTACTAACGGTAAGAATGACATATTCTTATACATATCTATATAATAAAATTATAATAATAGTATAAGTGTTGATTTTTAAACTTTTTAAAAATCTAAGGTTTAATTTGGAATTAAAGTATTAGAGTGTAAGACTTTTCAAATTCCAAAACTTGAGGGCAAGAATTGAAACTATTCCAAGTCTCTTCAATTTGTAACTTATGAGTTTTAATGGTTCATAAAAATGAAGACTCTTCATTTTATGAAACCTCTTTAGTTCTTTAATCATAATTAAAAGAAGTGACTCTTGGTTATCCATAACTTGAGGACAAGTTATGGACACCATCATAGCCATTAAGATCATGAATTGAACACACATGGAGGTTACACATAATTCCTATGATCTTCTAAAACTCATAAGAACACAAATTCATGTCAAGCAATTTCAAGAAATCATATAAACATATACAATACTTGAAATTTGATAAAAGTCATGTAAAATGGGTTAACATAATCATTATCATTTTGAAAAACAGATTTTACAAGTCCAAAACAGATTGGGATAATGATCTTAATCCATTTCCAGCAACAAAACTCGAAAAAACTGCCCAGCACGCTCCTACTCGCCGAGTGCACTATTCTACTCGTCGAGTAGGATGAATTTGTTCATGGACTCGGCGAGTCCTCCCCATGGACTTGGCGAGTCCAGTCGTCAGAATGCAGAATTTTCGATTTTTTAAGCAGTTTTGCATCAAGTATACAGAAAACAAACCTGGCTCTGATACCACTGATGGGTTTTGAGCATTCTAACACTTCCTAAGTGTACATGCAACCCTAATAACCTTGAATCTATGTTTTCTCTATATACATGCAAATTTATTTTCAAGGTTATTTCCTAACTAGCATGGCATGGGGATTACATAAAACATAAAAACTAGTAGAAATACATACCTTGTTGTTGCTTGGATTCCTTCAAGACTTTGTGAGCCTAGCACCCCAAATGTTGTGCCTCAAATGCTTCACACAACACCACAAGACTTGGAATAACTTGAGAGAATACTTCTAGCACTCAAAATCGGTTATGCCCTCTCTAGTAACACTATGTCCACAAAACTCCAATTTTGCTAGCCATAGGGTTCCTTTTATAGTGTTGTCACAATTAGGGTTTACACATGAATGCCCTTAATTGTCATGACTCTTGATTTCCCATGACCCATGGGTTTGTAACTCCCATGGACTATCCATGGAGCTCCATATGGTTATAACCAAACCCATAAACCATGGATCATTAATCCACCATAAAAGAATTGATGATTGTCAAAATCAACCCTATATATTTAATTAGTCTCACTTTGATCACCAAATTAATACTAGATTAATACTTGATCAATACTAATTAAATAATACTATTATTAATATATTAGAACTTATAATATATTAATAATCATAAGTGCCTTATTCTCTCATTTAGTCTATCCAAGTATTGCAATGCCATGCAACCCAAATGGACCATGCCGGGTCGGGTCAAGTACATACCAAATAAAGTTATGGACTTAGACACTATATCCAACAACCTCATCATAAAACCAGAATTGCATTGAGTCCAAAGTCCCTTCTGGTAAACGTCTAGGAAGCGGAATCCTTTTAGCTTGCTTTGTGGGTGGCCACATAACATTCACCATGGTTTTATTAGTGTGAGGATCAATGACCCCTTAGCCTTTTTTGTGAACGATAAAGCAGTCTTCATGCCTTCAAATTTATTTTTTAGCTTGATCCTCAAGAAACCTCTTAAAATCCCAGGCCACAGAGTCATTGGTTGGATTGTTGAAAGGAGCGTGAATGAGTTCAACAAGATGAACTTTTTTCCAGGACATAAAGTCAGCTGGCTTCTCATAATACTCAATTCGACTGCTCTTTCGCTTCACGGCCCACATTTTCTTGTCAGCATCATATCCCCACATCAAAATGCCAGAGCGATCTCCATACTTGTCAGTAAATTTATTCCCAGTTTCCCTTAAAACATTTCATTGTGATCACTTGGAGCATTCTGATCCGAATGTTTCATCACTAACATCTTCCCTTTCAGCTGCTCAATTCGAGCTTGTTTCTCTCTTTTTTCTTGAGTAGAAAAGGACCAGAAGATAAAAATGTGTCAAGATTTGCATCCAGAGCAGGTCTTACAACTCTTTCACTTGCATGTTGAGAAGGTGGAATGACTGGATCAGAACTAGAAGTAGGAATCTTTTCGCCTTCAGCACTTAAAGGTTGAAAATCATCACCAAACTTTTGATGTAAGCGCTGTTTCAAGTCAAAGAATAAAGCAGTTATACCACCAAGATTTGCTTGAAGTTCGGAAATCTTCGCGTATTTAACAGAGTTCTCCTGTTCAAGGTTAGAAACTCTCACATCCAGACTACCAATCAGTAAGTCCTTCTCAATGGACTCTTGCTTCAAAAACATAATCTCTTGTTTAAGCTCAGAGATGGTTTGATGGGAGTCTTCATCACCTCCTTGCTTGGAGCCAATAGATATTCCTTTTCCTTTGGATTGAGAAATGGAATCTTGAAAAGCAAGTAACTTGGCTAGTTTAACAGATGCAGCATCGTGCTCTGGAGGTGGTGGGGCAGAAGAGCTTCCTGAAGCAAATGCTTCCTCATTAGCCATTTGACTTTGAACATCTTCTTGGACCGGGGCTGGTTCAATGATTGGGCTTTGAACATCTTCTTGAACCGGGGCTGGTTCAATGATTGGGCTTTGAAAATCTTCTTGAATAATTTGAGCTGGCTCAATAATCGGACTTTGAACATCATGAGTAACTTGAGTGGGCTCAACAATCTGAGAGGGCTGTGGTATTGGCTCAGGAGAAAGCACTCCCGACCTTGGATCTCTACATTTTCGCTTTCGTGGCAACAAGGAGGCTTTTGAATTATCTTTATCACTCCTAGATGGAGACTCAGAAGTAACAGAAACTACTTGGGGAGGCTTCCTTGCAGTTGACTGTAATTTGTCAATAAGAGCTTCCATCTGTTCGGGCGTAGGTTTGTTTAGTTGCTTAAAATGTTGATTTCCTTTTCTATCTCAGCTGGAGAAATCACAACCTGATTGATTGGCTCCTTCGTCGGTACAAACATACGAAAATCCATACCATCGTTATCACTATCACTCTCATCATCACCATCATCAGAAACTTCAAATGAAGAACTAAAATTTGGTCTTGATGGCACCGCGTGTTCTTCAGCCACCACAGGAGTTTGAGCACTTGAAGTTTGAACACCTTCCGTCTCTACAAAATTTCCAAAATTTACCAGCTCCTTTAATCCTTGACAGACGACTTTTGTAGATTGTCTTGATTACTTCATTAGCCTAAAGGTGTTAGGACCCAAGGCTTTCATGTCCAAAGTATCAGAAGATCTCTTGATCTGGGGATATCTTTCATTCAGAATCATCTGAAGAAACCTGGGATACATTAAGAACGAATCCTTCTTCTTCCCTTGGAGATTCCTTTTCATTTCCTAAAAAACGTACTTTGAAAAATTGTAATCCCAGTTCATTGTTAGTGCAACAATGGCTGAGGTTGCAGTCTGACTAATCTCATCAAACCCTCCCTTCCTTCCAGAAATGCAACTCACAAAGTAATGTCCCAGAAATCTCCAGTAAGGTGGCGGCAGCTTCTTGATGGTGGGGGGATAGATTCCTTCATAGCACATCTTCTCAAGTGACTCCTTCACTTGACTAGCAGGGTACTCAATTGGAAATGCAGGGGCATCACCAAATTCAAGTACTTCGTGAATAACTTGCTCAGAAACAACTACTTGAGTTCCCTTTACCATTGACTCAATAGAAACAACTTCATCCGCTCCTGGACTATTGATTGAGGCATTTTTTCAGAAATCAGCAATCAGGTCCTTGTAGATGACTGGATTAGAACGCAAAGCGTGAGAGATTCTGCAATTATTCAGACCCACAATCATGGATTTGAATTCTTTATGAACAGCAGGTGGATCCATAAGATATCCAGCAACATTGTGATTTTCAAAGAACTTTAATTGATTCGCCATTTGTCTGCACCAAAATAATTAAGTGAGAACAATAAATTTTTTAATTAAAATCAAAATTAAAAATTTATTTAATTTTTAATTAATTTTTTTTGATCCACTATGGTAGATTACGGTCCAGATCATTCCTTTATGTGTTTGCGGTCAAGGTCAATTTCCCCTTTTATCATTATTATTATCGTTTTCGGTCAAAATACTTTTGACCAAACGTTTGCGGCCAAGGTCAAGCCTTCCATCGTTTACGGTCAAAGCAAAGGGGGTTTCCTGTTGGATCCGGATCTAACCGAAAACCCGGAAAGAAAAACCCCGACATTTCATCTTGACAGGTTCCCCGGAAACTACCGTCAACATGCCGGAAACCCTTCGAATACCCTGCAAAACTCCACAGAAGAATCATAACGGGTGAAACATCATGCTCGAAATAAATATACCTAGATAAAACAACATTCAATCGAAAAAAAAATTGATGATGTTGAGCTGAAGATGAAGCGATGAACAGTTTACTCTTGCTTAGGGTTTTGAGAGAAAAAGAGATGGTTTCGGTGATGGTGAGGAACAATGAAAGAAAACGAAAAAATAATCCTTTTATATTCAAAGAGATTGGGTTCTCGGCCTTTTGGGCCCCCGAAATCAATGGACTTCCCATTTTTTAAAAAAAAATAATTCGTTTCATAGATGAGTACAACAATAAAATAAAATAAAATTTGAAGTAAAAGAAATAAAATAAAATAGACACACTTAAATAATTAAAAATTCACTCAAAATAAAATTAAAATATTTTTGGATATATTTATATATATATATATATATATATATATATATATATATATATATAGTTTTTTTAATTCTCCCCCTAAATTTGTGCATATAGGAAAATTATGAACAAATTTAACAAAAATATTTTGGGATCAAATTTGTCAAACAATTCAATATCGTTTATCAGCACACACCGACATGTTTAGCTCTGTTCAATCACCAATATTGTGGTCCACTTAAACACAACGGATAGTGACAATTTGGACAAATTAACAGTGACAAGTCATTGTGATCTTATTCCTAAATAGACCATTTTGCTGACGACGACCAAGAATATTGTTGTCCACTTAAATTCACCAGCAAGATCTACAGACAACCTTTTAAATGGTTGAATTTTAGATGCACTAGAACGTGTTACCCACTTCCCGACATACCTCGGTAATCAAGAACTTCCAAAAAACTCCTTACTTTAGGTGAGTAGACAATCATTAAGAGAGATATCAGATTTAGAGATGCATATGTTGTATACCCAGGTCGGATCTCTTCCAATCACACAAAGGGACAACATATGGATAACTAGAATAGAGGGATTGAGAGGTAGAATGTTGCATATGCTGTGTTCCAGGTCGGATCTCTTCCAATCACGCAGAGGAGACATCATATGGCTAACAGATAGAAAGAATTGCATAGAGAAGGAGATGTATAGAGATAGAGTTGCATATGTTGCATTCCAGGTCGGATCTCTTCCAATCATGCAGATGAGGCAACATATGACTGACAGATAGAAAGCAAGAAAATAATTTCCTACAGACCTACTTTATCAGAACCCCCAGTCACCCTATCAGTACCGGAATTAAGGACATGAGTCCATACGTCGAGGAAATGTTAAGCCACAGATCTAGATACATAGGACTTTAATGTATCCTGCAGGCTCCCTTGTTTATCTCATTGCTCAATCTACCCGAACGGCGTATAGTCAGTCCAAATGAAACTACCTAAGTCCAGATAAGTTAACACAGTCAAGTCCTTTCATTGTCAGCTATGTCTAGTCCTTTTGAATCCTTCGTGCCTACCAGCACATTGAACACAGAGTCTTAACAATTTGGCTTCAGTGCCTTACACGAATTTCAGACTGCCCTTTCGCACTAAACTTCATATCACTTCCCAAAAAAAAACTTGCGAAAGAAAACATATTTTTGTATTTTTTGAATTTTTTGAATTGATTTCTTGTAACACCCCGTTTATTTAATAGATAAATAAACAAATTAACGAACGAATAGTAGCCCTAAAATCAATAATTGTATAGCAAGGCGTGTTCTCGAGGAGCTAACTGTCACGATTTTAGAAGTCGGGGGGTTAAAAGTGTAAGTTTCGGTTTGGTTTCGTAAAGATTTTTAGAAGACAAGGGGTGTTTGGTATCATTTGGACCTAACATGAAAGGATTTATGGAAGCAGGGGCTAAAGAGTAAATTCTGGACCTAATTTGAAAAGGATTTGTAGAGGTAGGGGCTGTTTGGTAAAATTTGGACTTAATTTGTAAAGAATTTCAGGAGGCAGGGTTTAAATGGTAAATTATAGACTTCTTTTCGAAAGATTTTATGGAGGAGGGACTGGAAACGTCATTATGAAAAAGATATGATATGGGGCGGGGTATATAACCGTTGGCTTCTTAATCCAAACCCTAACCCTAGAGTCGGATATCAGCCGCCACCCCCGACCCTTATGCCTCCCCGTCGGCGGCGCCGCTATGTTGTTTCTGATCAGCATCTGAAGACGATACCTCCGGACTTCCGCTCTTCTCCTCCTTCTCCTTCTTCAGTCGCTGCCATGAGAGGTCTCATCCACAAACACTACTTCGCCATCAGAGCCCCTCAACCACAATCACCGCCGACGACGATGAAGCCGGAGGAGCCGGAACTTCGTTGTTGTCGTTCGCTGCTGCTACGCCACCACCTTCTTCTTCGTTCTTTAGGTGGGCTGACGTCGTGTACGTCGACTGGGATCGACGGTGGGATTTGGTCGCCGTTTCTGGGTTTCCGGTCGTCGCTTGCCAGCCGTAGTGGCTGAGTTGGGGAATGTTTCAGTCTTCAGATCTCGTTTACGAGTGTGTGCATGTGTTTTCTCGGCTGGGAATCAAAATAACCACCACCACCACCGTGAGGTGGTGGCTTCCATCGCAAAATCGTCGTTGTCGCCGCCGTGAGCCACCAGGTGGGTGGCTGGAGTGCATTCTGCAATTTGGAGTGTATGTGTGTGTGTGTGTGTTTTGTGTGGTTGGAAAACCAAGGAAGTCACCACCACCACGTGCCACCGCCGGCCACCACTAGGGTGGCTATGTGTGTGTGTTTGTATTAGTGTGTGTGTGTTATTTGGGTTTTTGCTTTGTAATATTGTATTCAGTGCTAGAATAATGAAAAGAAACTCATAACCACCACCGTGAGGTGGTGGCTGCCGCCTCCTGCCGCCACCAGCCGCCGTGTTGGGTGGCGGTGTGCCTTTTTTGTATTTTGATTCGTTTTGGGATGCTTGGACAAAATGGATTAGAACCATAACCACCACCGTGAGGTGGTGGCCGCCGCCGTGAGCCGCCGTTGACCACCATTACCCGAGGTGGTAGTGGGTGGTGCCCGACTAGCGAAACCCTAATGGGCCTAGTGAAACCCTAATGGGCCTAATGAAACCCTAATGGATCTAAGGACTTAGCTTTTGGGCCTACTGGGTTAGGATTGGGTTGGAAACCCTGATTAGGGTTTAGAAAACCCTAATTTTGGATATTTTAGTTTGGACTTATCGGGACCCGCATTTTGGGCTATTGGAATGGAATTGTGAATTACACCCAATCACACCATATGATTTATCTAGTAGAGTAATGGACTTAATGGATTAAGTCCTTAATGGGTTAAGTGAGAAACACTTAACCCTAATCGTCATTTTATGTGAAAACCCTAATTTCACTTGGGCCTTGAGTTAGGCCTTTCTATTAGGCCTTGATGATTGGGTTATTGGTGGGCCATCCAAGAATAATCATATGGACTAGAATGTTTAGATGGGATTTAGGGTAAGGCCCATATGTGAGGTTCGCGCCCAATTTGGAAAATTGGGCCATAGATGGGCAATAATTGGGCCTTTATGATTATGAGATATTGGGCCATTAGAAATGCCAAATGTTTGGACTGGACTAAGTAGTTGGGCCTTAGAATAAGACCATGTAAA